CAGAACAGCTGATATAGCCCAGAACGAGGTACACTGGGAGGTCAAGGGCACAACAACAGGAGCAAGGCCCACGGTTGCCATGAACCAAGTCAGCCAGAGTGTTCAGAAGCTGAAGGTCTTCTGCAGGGTCAAGCTCCTGTTGAAGCTTTTCACGGCTGCACAAGTCTGCTAAGCAACAACTTGTCAGAGCCAACTTTCTTGGCCAGAGCTAAGGAGACTTTATGGGCAAAGCATCTTGAAGTGCGAACAGTTTCAGCGCACCAGAGTGTACCAGCATCGGAACAGCATAATTTGCTAGGAACAATCCAGGTCCCACCAAAGACCAGAGATGTTTGCTCTGGGGTATTTAAGCCATATCGTTTCCCGCCAAGTGGGGCTAAGAGTCACAAATTTGTATCCCTTCAACACAGTGCCAGGTTTCTGTTGTCTTTCACAACTGATGGTTTGCGATCAACAGTAAAGAATAGAAGATGTTGTTGCACTTGCTTGGGCCTAAACTGCTGTTCTAACTTGCGAAAAATACTTAGGAAAGGGCGATTGGACACTCGCGCAACATGCAAAGACTGTTGCTGTGCTGTAGCCTTTTCCTGCACAAATCCGCTTCCGAACTCCTTTGATTTCAGTTTAGCGTAACAGAGCTGTCCGTATTTAAAGGCTATAGCGTCTATGGGATCACCCACTGAGCCTGTTAAATTTCTGAGGGTCTGGCCCGTACATGGGAGGGTCCATGAGCATTTGGACGGGGTTCGTTCTCTTGCCAATTTTGTTCGAATTTTGCAAACTCCTTTTCCAACTTCCTTGGTTTGGCTGATCGGACGATGTTTCTTTTCCAGGTTCCTGGGTGAACCTGGGGAAGATGTTCTGATTTGTCCCCGGTTCCGAGCAAGCAAAGAAAGGCATTCGGAACTCAAAGATTTGCCTCCCTGTGCGTGGCAAAGGTTCCCACAACACATCCCCTTCATCGCTTCAGAGGCCGGAATCCCAACAATTGCCTCGCAAAGGGCGCGCAGTGGGTTCGACACCAACGAAAAAGGTTGAGAGGACAAAAAAGAAACCTGCAGCCAACCATCACCCCAAACTGCACTCTGAAAGGGCACGAAGGAATTCTTCCTGTAGACACCTCAGGCCACATGCCGATTTTCTCGAACAACTTTGTTGAAGTAATGTAAAGTCGACAAGGTTGGCCATTCTTACCGAGACACCTTAGGCCTCTTCCGGCTTTCTTGCAGGGCTTCAGTTTCGATAATCCTAAGGCTGAAGTCGATTCAAATTGCAAGCACATACGAAACTTGAGGCCACTTAAACTCAGTTCTTGAGAAGTTTGCGAGTTTCTTGTTCACTCCCACAGCCTCGGTTCTGCCAACTTTTTAAGGCTTTTGGGGTGGTAACAATCGCCACAGCTGCTGGCGCCGGAAAAATTTAAGGCCTCTTGCTTGCCTGTTCGTTTCAAAGCAGGCTGACTTGTGATCTACCGCATCTTTTGGATGAAGGCCCTTTTCACGGCGTTGACATGAACAGTTGTATTGATTCAGATTCCTCAGAAGCTGCAAGGGATTCCTTGCTAGATCTCATTTTCAGAGTGACATCGGACACTGATGTCTCGGGTGTATGTCCAGCTGCAAAATTCCCAGATTCCATTCCATGTGTGGCCAACTTGCATAGGCCCTCCCGATTGAAACCCTTGAAATGCCCTGGCACCACAGCGATGGTCGAGCTCCTAAGGGATTTCTTACGGCTGTCAGGCGTCCACAAAGGTATATGTTTCCTCTAGTTTGAGTTAGCGTCTACATAAGATTCTTTTTGGGTCTCCAGAATCAAGCCTGGCATGTCCATTCGAAGAATTCTGGCAACAATTTGCTGAAGCAAGCAGAAATCCATTGCCGTCAAATTAGTTCGGCATCACTCAGAGTACCTGAGAACCGACAAATGCTCTCAAGGAAGAGGAAGGACGAGAGAACAAAGTCCAAACCAAATCACAGCCACATCAGCTTGATTATGCTTGATTGAAAAAACATGAAAAATGAATTTGCAAAGCCCCTGGTGTCTCACTTCAAGGACACTAGTCACTAGTAGCACTTGGTAAAGTCTGTAGGTATACCCTTCACAACTGTGTATATCGCATTTGGTGAACTCGGATAACATGCCGTCGACGCTGTAGCACAAAAAACTAACACACGTCACACGTCACATTCATTTCAAGAATCCTGAATGCCCGACATCCATCGATGGCTCGGAGTTGTGATTCTGGGAAATTATCACACCTGAGGATACCAACACGGCAAAACGTCGGCATAGCACATGTGCTCAGATATGTGCAAGCATGACCACGCCGCAACAAGCAACAAGGGAACCCGCTTCAGAACCTGCTCTGCTGCCTGTCAGCAGGTCAGCACGACAAACGACAGCATGACCCGACTTCAGCATCTCAGGGGGGCGAGTCAGCATGCTAGCATGGCCCATGTCAGCGTGCCAGCACGACAACATGTCAGCAAGACAAAATTATGCAGCAAAATATTCACGTCAGCAAGACATCCTGTTTGTTATATATAGTTAGCGTCACAGCGTGACAACATGCGAGAGTGTCATACAAGCATGGTAGCCTGGCGGCATGACAACATGTATATAATCATGACAACATGCAAGCATGAACTCATGTTAGCACCACACCATGACTATGACAATATCAGCATCACCCCATGTCAGCATATCTGCAAACAGCTCTGGAACTGCTCAACCTGCTCCAGGACCTGGCCCGGGACCTGCTCCGGAACACCGGAACTTGCTCCGGAGCCATGCTCCGGAACTTATGATCAGTCAGTCAAGCGCTTGGGGTCTGCAGTCTGCAGTCTGCCTCAAAAAGAACCACAATTGCCTAGCCCACCCGATCGCACTGGGTTCTCGCTTTTTTCATCGCCTCAAAGGTCCCAGAGGATGCTACCATGCTGGACCCTCCGAAAGATACTGCTGCGGCTTGCAGCGTCCATCTCGACCGGGAACCAGACACCAGGCTTAACCCGCTTCTCCAAGAGCTCGAAGGCAAAGGCAGCAGTGGCCAGACCGACACAATCCTGCCAGAATCCAGAACTACGTTCTTGGCCATGAATTCAAAAAGCATTACCTACGATGGACCTACGATGACTGCATGAGATGTAAGTCCCCAAGGCACCCCATTCACACACTGTATTGGAGAAGGTTGCTTTAGTCGGGCAAACCTGTAGTATGGGACTCCAACCAAATCGATATGGACAGGTGTTCAATCCGTGCACTGGGCCACATGGACCATTGAAAAACCTCTTTACACTTTGACATCTCACCCACCAGGGATCTGATAACAAATTTAACCCCTATTCGCCATCCCAAAATGATCTGTAAGGTGAGCTTCCAAAGATAATTATATAGTAGTCTTTCAACTGCTCAGGATGGTTTTCGGCAGCTAATGGTGTTCCAATATGATGCCCCAATGCCTACAGTACAATAGCCAATGTCTTCATTCTTCACGTCTCCGAACCCTTCTCAGCTTTCTTGGAGCACCTCGAAACTAGTGTGATACATGAACAAGCCACTGAGAAGCTTCTACACCATGAGTGGCTACAAAGTCATACTGCGGTGACCTAGGACAATGTCCAATGGTGGTTCTAGAAGCCGTTTTTGACCTGGAATTCACTGGAAAGCCAAGCCTTTCTTTGGATCTCAAGGTCACCAAACCAACCCCTTCACTGCACAATGGACTTGTCCTGCATAGAGCACAATGTGATCAGTTTTCGTACTGCAGTAGACTTGCTGATCGTACGAGTCCTTTCTACATCTCACTACTGTATATAGTACCTTTCCATCATTTTCCATCACCCATGTCTGAACTATTCCTTCAAACATGTGCATATTGAAGAGCTTTCTGATCATGTTGCCCATGCCAGCTGATTCTAGCATATCACAACAATAATAAGGTCATAGTGGTTCCCTTCCAATATCTCTTGACAACCACGTCTTCACTTGCCTCTCTTTGTCCATGTATTGAGCCTCTTCTCTTCCCCTCATTTATGCAGCAAAGAGAAAAAAAACAGCTCCACCCGCAGTGCTCCAGCATGCCTCTGCACCCACCAAGCCCAAACACCTCCAAACACTACTCCCTGGGAGTCAAAGACAAAAAGAATGGTCTGACTAGGGGACCTGACAGAGAACTCATGGGAACTCCCTTTACTTCAGTTGGTCGACTGGTCGGATGCTCAGTGCCTCCAAGTCCTGGTGCGCCACCCGCAGCGTGGCGACGCTTCTTCGCCCGGAGGCGTCGGCGGGACCGGTGGCTTTGATGTGCATGGCGTTGATGGAGCCCACGAACTGATCCACTGCCGTGATGATGGGCATTGAGAAGGTCGAGACCTGGGAATTCCAGGCTCCGGAAGGCTCCGGAAGGCCGGGTGCAAACGGTGAACGGAGACATGTTGAGACTGAAGCTGATGTGTTGAAGAAAAAGAGCAATCAAAGAGATTGAGAAAGGAGCCAGGATTTCAATCACTTGTCCCGTCAGCTGGTTGTGGCGGCCTACACAAGCTGGACTGCTATTTTGCAATTCATCGGTCCAACCATACAATCCTCCAATTTACAAGACTGATCTTGGTGTCTGCCTGGATTGTGATCCAGGCTTTACTCACGATTGCTTGACAGTGTGTGCAAGTCCCTGGTTTCCTTGCCTGCTGCATTAGCCCACGATTCCTCGGGATTTCCGCGGGCTTCGCAGCTGCCCAAACAAAGGCGACACACTGTGAGGAACCCCAGGCACCCTGAGATTCCCCACTGAGGATCAGGAAGAACTGGCGAAACAAGTTATTGACCACATGCATCCACTCGCATGGTTGATAGTTGATCACGGTTTTAGGCACCACCTCCAACACTGTAGAAAGGTGTCTTGATCCCCATAAACCTGGACTTTGACCCTCCACAGACCAAATGAAGTTGGAAAATGCCTCCTAAACCACTTTTTCAGGCCAAAGTGCGCCAACACAGATCTTGGCAACACCCGTGCGGCCGCGAACATCCAGTTCCAGATGTCTGGAGCCGTGCCAAAGCCTTGTGGCCGCCGGCGGAGAACTTCACCGTCTCTAAGGAGATGATGCTCCGGTTCCAATAGTAGCGTTCTTGTTCCTAGTAGCAATGCCAGGAGCCCCTAGTAGCGAACATTGCTCCTGGTAGTACGGCCAGGAGCCCCTAGCAACGCCCTTGCTCCGACTAGCATGATTTGATGTTTGAGATGCATGATTTGATGTTTACGGAGTCGATCCATCAAGATCGATCTGAGAGAAAGCCGGAAGGCGCCCAAGAAACTAGACGACCGTTGGCCCGAGAGCGAGAAAGGTGATTGTCAAGCAATTCCGAGTAAGGAAATAGTTAAAATCGAGTTGTCCAAAAGCCATGACTTCTTTATACAATCTGTTATTGAGTAAGAAGTTTCGAAGAAATTAGATGATCTAAAATATTCACAGAAAAGATATGTAGAAAGAGGGAAAGAGAGGGCGGATGTGAAGGAGTGACAGTGTGGATGTGCAGGTGTGATATAGATGTGGAGATGCGTGGGTGTGGAGGTAGAGAGGTAGATCTGCGGATGTGAGCGTGCCACACGGTCTGCCCACACACTAGAAGCAATCCTATCACACGATACTGCTAATCATCCCGCTCACCAGCGACACGCCGCGTTTACACCACAACATTGTTTCGCGCTCCCCAGTGGCACTGCGCCACGCAAACTCCCTTCCCACCAAGGCCGCGCAAATCCGCATGGCACTGCGACATCACGGCCGTAACTTCGCCACACGGTCTGCCCACACACCAGAATAGCAATCCTATCACACGATACCGCCAATCATCCCGCTCACCAGCGACACGCCGCGTTTACACCAGCATGTTTCGTGCTCCCCCATGGCACGGTGCCACGCAAACGCACTTCCCACCAAGACCTCGCAATCCACATGGCACTGCGACATCACGGACGTAATTCGCCACACGTTCTGCCCACACACTATACAACCTCACCAGCACTTCACGCCTTCGACACGCACGATCTCCGCAGAGGGTTGCCCGCGACAAATCCAAAAGGCAATCTCGCCTGCATTTCGCACCCTCGACACGCACGATCTCCGGAGAGGGTTGCGCCGGACAAGTCCAAAACACAATCTCGCCTGCATTTCGCGCCCTCGACACGCACGATCTCCGCAGAGGGTTGCGCCGGACAAGTCCAAAAGGCAATCTCGCCTGCATTTCGCGCCCTCGACACGCACGATCTCCGCAG